TTACTAAAAGTTATCTATAGATTCCCTACAACCCATAAAAATCCCAGTAATGGGGCTGGAGTAATGGCTCAGTGGTTAAGAGCACCAACTGCTCTTGCAGAGGACCCAGGTTCGAGTCCCAGCACACACATGGCAACTATGAACCATCCTTAACTCCAGTTCCAGGGGAACCCAAAGCCCTCTTCTGACCTCCGCAGCATTGCACGACATGGGTGCACTCACATACATGCAGGCAATACACTCACACACATAAAATAAAAATAATAAAACATTTTTTAAAAGTCCCAATAATATTCTTTACAGAAATCAAAAATCCCTAAAATTCACAGTCATAAAAAGATACCAAATAGATAAAATAATCTTGAACATAAAAAGAATTGCTGCCAGTATAACAACATCTGATTGCAAATCACATTATAAAATCATAGTAAGAAAACCAGCATGGTACTGGAACAAAAACAGACATATAAACCAACAGAATAGAAGGCCAGAAATAAACCTACACAACACAAAGCTGCCAAAAACATATGTTGGAGAAAATATATTCTCTTCACAAATGGTGCTGTAGCAACTGGACATCCACAATGGAAGAATCAAACTAGACTGCTAACCCCCACAGTGTACAAAAATCAACTCAAAATTGATCAGTGACTTTAATATAAGGCCTGAAACTTTGAAATGCCTAAAGGAAGACACAAGGCAAACACTTCAAGATCTAGACATAGACACAGAATTTCTGGAGGAGTCCCATAGATCAGGAGATAATACCAGGAACTGACAAGTGGGATTGCACGAAACCAAAAAGCTTCTTGGGCTGCAAGATGGCTCAGCAGGTAAAGACACTCGCTGCCAAGTCTGATGACCAGTTTGAACCCCAGGACCGACATGGTGGAAGGAGAGAAACAACTCCAGCAAGTTGTCTTCTGACTTCACTCACTCACACACACACACACACACACACACACACACACACATAAATTTAAATGTTTTATAAAAAAGCTTCTCATAACAAAGGAAACAACCAACAAAGTGATGAGGCAGTCTACAGGATGAGAAAATCTTTGCCAGGAATTCATCTGAAAGGAAATTAATAATAAGAATATATAAAGAACTCAAAAAATTAAACACCAAAAGAATTAATAATGGGAAATAAACTGACTTCTTTTCAAATGAAGAAATAGAAAGTCATTAAATATGTGAATATTTTGTTCAACTTTTGTTTCTCTTTAGCCATCAGAGAAATGCAAATGAAAGCTATGCATCTGAGAGTCTTTCTCCCTCAAGTAAAATGACAACCATCAAGAAAACAAAAACAACAAATGTTGGAAAGGATGCAGGAGAAAAAAGAAAAAAACCATTAAAGGGAATGTAAATTAGTGTGACCATTATGAAAATCAGTGTAGAGGTTCCTCAAAAAACTAAAAATTGGGGCTGGAGAGATGGCTTAGCAGTTAAATACTCTGGCTGCTCTGGCAGAGGACCCAGGATCAGTTCCCAGCACCCAAATGGTGGCTAACAATCATCTATAACTCCAGTTCCAGGGAATCCAAAGCCCTCTTCTGACATCCACAGGCACTGCACAACACAGGTGCACTTACATTCGGGCAATACACTCAAACACATAAAATAAAAATAATAAATATTTTTTAAAAACTAAAAGTAGGAGCAATGAGATGGCTCATTGGGTAAAGGTATTTCCCACTAAACTTTTAGAGACTTGAAGTCTGTTTCCAGAACCCACCTGGTGGAAGAAGAGAACAGACTCCCACAAGTTGTCCTCTGATCTCCATAGGTACACTGTACATGTACACATATACACACAATAAATAAAAGTAATTTTAAATAAAATGCAAACATTTAAAAAATTATACTGGGATTTTTCTTGAAGATTCTTTGAATTTGTGGACTAATTTCCAAATTCCTGAGCTGTACGTCCCAGTTCTTTCATGATCTTTACTAATACTTTATGTTCCCTGCAGAGGTTATGTTTGCCTTGTGGGTGAAAGCTAATTATGCTGCTGATAGGTACTGTGAGGAACATTTTATATGTTTTTTGTTTGTCCTAAATTCTGGGATTACAGGTATGTACAACCATGCCTGGCTGCATTCTATACATTCCAGTTTTTGTTCTAGTGGAGAACTATCAGAATATCAAGTCTAAAAAGCACATTTTGCCACAAGTTATAGAATATCAAGGTAGTAATTACTAAACAGAGCCCAAAGTCCAGGCCCCACAGGAATGGTGGAACGACCTTACCACATGGAGAGCTCCAGATCTTCTGCCTTCCACCTCTATCCCTTCCAGCACTGCCTGTGATCTTCAGATGGCAGCAGCAACCCCAGACACCAAGTTCAAGCCAGGTAGAAAGGAAGGAAGTGAAAAAGGGAGTTCAATGGCACTGCTGTTGGGAGCTATTAGTATAAGCACAGCCATTATGTACACTGAGCTGTGGCAGGCTTGCTTGTTTACTTTATGATCTTTCACCTTGACTCAAGAGTTTGTGTGTTTTGCACACCAGTACCGAATTGTTCTGCCAAGTCAGGAGGAATGTGTTGATAATTTACAGGAGATGGTTAAATGGTGGAATTCACAACAAGTATTTGACCGTTCCTTGACCCTCAGATGAAGGTGGGAAAAAACAGCTGTTGAAGCTAATTGAGCTAAGCAAACGGTGGCTATCTGATGTTCTACTGTACAAGAAGGCTGAGCAAAAATAAACCGGGGCTGCAGTCTCTACTGACGGTCCTCCCAAGTATCCTTTCTCTGTTTCTTGTTTTTCTTTCATCCTCACTCCCCCTTTCAGGTGCTGTTCGTCTTGGCCGGCTAGCACCGGCACACTGCCCCCTTCATAGAGCTGTCTTCTAGCTGTCTTCGTTATTTCTATTGCTATGATAAAACACTGACTAAAACCAACATGGGGAAGAAAGGGTTTATTCCATCTTTATTCCATTCCACATTTCCCAGGTCACAACTCATCACTGAGAGAAGTCAGGGCAGGAACCTGGAGGCAGAAGCTGAAGCAGACCATGGAGGAACATTGCTTACTGGCTTGCTCCCCTGGCCTGTGCTCAACTGGCTTTCTCATAAACACAGAACCACCTGCCCAGGGGTGGCAACCCTCACAGTGGGCTGGGCCCTCCACATCACTCAACAATCAAGAAAATGCCCCACAGACATGGCCACAGGTCAGTCCAATGGAGGAAATTCCTCAGTTGAGGGTCCCTCCACCCAGGTATGTCAAGTTGACAAATGAAGCTATACCAGCACACTGCCTGGGTTCCATGGGTCCTCAGCATTATGAGGTGCCCACTGCAAAGTCAGTGCTGAGGGTAGCAGCAAGAGTCCTGCCCACATCTGCAGAATCCACTACTCCTGTATAACTGCCTTCATGTTAACAGTTCTGTTAATACCATTTAAACTGAAGTGGGGAACACAGGAAAACTTTTCTTGGTCCCATTTCTAAAGGAATTGCAGCTAAAGGTGCTATACTAAGCAGATGTTTGCTGCAATTTGAAACACAGCCCTTATCAAGTGAACAATTCACTTCCAATTTCTTAGCATTTTCTCCCCACAAATGAGTGTTGACTGAAGTCAAACATTTTGTCTTCCTCTTCTGTGAAAATTCAAACCTTTTTCTCCTTTAGTCCACCAAGTAGGAACATATGTTGGTGGATTTTTTATATAAACTACCCTAAGCCTGACTTGGTGGTACTTTCCAACTCACTGTTGATTTTTTTTTTGCTAATATTTTAAGAACTTATTCAAAGATGAAGTCCTACATGCTATTCTTGCCTTCCGTAAACTTCTTGAAGCCTACTCAGTGGGAAGCTCCTCCTTGGCTTCCTACTGTGTCACTGATCCACTTTCTTCTCTACTCTCATCTTTGGAACAACCCTCCAGTGTTAGAGCCCCAAATCCCCTGCCAGCAGCACCCCATGGCCTTCAGACGGCAGCTGCAACTGAAATACCAAGTCCAAGCCAGGAAGGGTGGACTCTCCAGGTTGATGCCCTTTCCTCTCAAGGTCTTCATCTTTTGTAGGAGATATACATTATCTTCATAATTCAACCCCTTGCTTCTCTCTGCTGGGCATGGTGGCACATGACTTTAATTCCAGCACTTTGAAGACAGAGGCAGGCAGATTTGTATGAGATCAAGGCCAGGCTGGTCTACATAGTGAGTTGCAGGCCAGCTGGGGCTACAGGGAGACCCTGTCTCAAAAAGAAAACCTTCATTTCTAGTTGCTTGTATTCCTTTACTATAGTATGTTGTTCTTATTTTATTAAAACAGTATCTGTTCCAGTCATTCTGAACTTATGAATTAGATTTTTTTCAATCTTAATGTTCTGTTTTCCTGATTCATCAAACCTCTTGTTTTCTGTTTCTATACATTGGTCTTGCTCATGTGTGTTGCAGCACTCCTTGAAAGTCTGATGAACTGTTTGTCCTTCATATTTTAACAGGAAGTGGGGACAGGGGCACCTAGGAGCTCTCCTTGCTTGAGCAAAATTAGGGAATGGGGTCAGTCATAGGGTTGAGAGTCTTCAACTTACAGCTGACAGAAAGCCCTGATCACAATGACTTCAATAAGGGGCTCCATGCACTTACCTGAGATTGCTGAGCCCAGATCAACAGGACCACCTCCCTTCCTCTCCAGGTCCTGCCCCCACCCTCTGGGTGGGTCTCAGGTTCCCATGAGGCTCTGCACTGGGCCTCAGGCGGGACATCTCAGCTCCTGGCAGCTCAGACTGTAGTCCTAAGCCTTGAAAAGCTGGTTTGGTGCAGGTAGAAACCCTCAAGGCTGTTCAGAGCTGGGATTCACTCTCCCTCCCAGGGTGGGAAGGAAACTGCAACAAGCCAGCCTGAAAATAAGGGAGGATTGGTTCTTCAAGGACGCATTTCCAGAAGGGTCCCAAGTTAGGACTGTCAGGGAGTCCACAACTACTCCTTGGTGTGGACAGCCTGCCTGGAGGGCCTTCTGGCAGAGTGTTGGCCCAGTGCTCACCCAGAAGTTCTCACGGATCTGGAAAGGCAGTCCTGTGGTCCTTGTGACTGGGGAGGAGTGGGTGAGGCTGGGTAGCATCAGAGAACCAAAAGGTGATAGGAGATGCATGGAAATGCTTTCGGGGAACAGGTCTGGGCACGGAAGAGGCGGTGGACACAGCTGCTGCTGGGCTAGTGGGCCGCGGGAACCGGACTTGGTGCCTGGGTGATGGGGACTAGTGGATGTAATGGAGAAATGGGAGACTGGAGGGGGTTGGGGAGAGAAGCAGGGCTGGAGGAAGGCAGGAAAGCACCAAGAGCAGCAAGGATGGGGGCCGCCAAAGAGAGGGGCTGTGCTTTCCGCTTTCCGGAGCTTGCCTCTCTCTTCCCTTGGCATCTCCCGGGGCTGAGTCTCTGCTGCAGCCCGCCCCCAATCCTCAGGCGGAGCGCATCATCCTGTCGTGCGCTCTGCCTCTGGCAGAGGGTCCCCTCCACCACACCTTTTGGCTCGCCGGCGGCAGCTCCTAAGAGGCCACTCAGCCGGCGATTCTGACCAAGGCCTGCAGCGGATAAGGCAGGGGAGGTGGATTCGCTCCCAGTGGTGAGTGGGGAGGGAGACTGGCCCTGGGAGGAGCATGGAGCGGCCACCCAGACCGCTGGTCCCACAGCCAGCCCGACCCATTCGGATCCTTTCCTTGTCCAGGCTCTGACCCTGGGCAATCAAGGAAGGGTGGCGCTCCAGGCGGGGATAAGAGACTTACCTGCGGTCTAGGCCTGGAACCCAGGCCCTAAGGCTTTATCAACCACTGATCATCTGCATCCCAAGGAGCTGGGAATCCGGATCCTGGCCCTGCACCCACTGCATTTAGCCGCAGCCTCTGGCTGGAAGGCTCATGCCAGGAATCCGCGGATCCAGTCACAAGGCTGTCCCTTCTCTAGCCCTGATCTGGGCGTATGCGGGCCCTCGATCCCAAACCAGTGTCCTCCACACACGAATCTATCTCCAGCATGTTCAGCCCTTCCAAAGACCATTGTCAGAGCCGGGGATATGTATCCCTTCCCCCCGCGGGAGCCCTCAACACCCATTCTAGGCCCCAGCTCCACCCCACCCCAAGAGCAAAACAGACACCAGTTGTTGAGCCCTCTCATACCATCCCATCTCCACCCTCAAACCAAAGTCCCAATGCAGATTAAAACAGCCAGTCCCCTTCCCCCACCCCAGCCCTGAGCCTACTGTCCTCCAAGATGCTGGGAGTGGTCAGACTCTCACAAAAGCAGAGGGTGAGTCTGCCTTCAAACTCTGGTGTCCCTGTCCCCATGTTCCGATGACACTATCCCCAGGCCCTGATACCCCATCCCCAGACCCTAAGCCAAGCGCCACCCCTGCACAGAAGCTGAAGTCCCCTCTACCCTCTTCCGGCAGGTTTTACCCACTAAAATGAACTGGACTGCTGCCACATGCTGGGTTCTGCTACTGGCCGCCGCCTTCCTCTGTGACAGCTGTGCTGCCAAGGGCGGCCGCGGAGGAGCTCGGGGCAGCGCCCGCGGGGTGCGTGGAGGGGCACGCGGGGCTTCTAGGGTGCGCGTGAGGCCGGCGCCTCGCTATGGCTCTTCTCTACGTGTGGCAGCGGCCGCGGCAGCTGCAGGCACCGCGGTGGGTGCCGCGGGCCTTGCTACCCGCTCAGGCTGGAGGAGGACCGCAGGGCCTGGGGAGCTAGGCCTAAAGGACGACGAAAATATGACAGCAGACAGCAACGGGACAGACCGAGGAGTCTATAGCTACTGGGCCTGGACTTCTGGCTCAGAGTCTACACGCGGTCCACGTCTTTGCCTGCTGCTGGGCAGTACCCTAGGTGCCCTGGAATTGCTTTGGTCCTAGACCCAGCTGAGTTTGGGCCCAAATCTGGGCCCCAGTCTGTGTCATCTTCGCAGGCCCCTAGGGCCCACCCATAAGGCCTCCAGCTCTAAGTGTCACTTTCTTCTGTTGCCCATGATCCCCCAGCCCAGAAAACTGCCTGAACGGGTTCTGGCCCCACAAGACCTCCTCAGTCTGTGGACACTCTTAACCTCCTATCCATCCCAATCTCCCCATTTCCCACCCTGGCAGGAACTAGAAGCACCCCTGACAAAGAAGCAGGCTGCCCTTCACTCTCCAGAGCTGTCTAAAGATGCCAAGAGGAGGTACCAGGCCACCCCTATCTGCTGGTCCACCCTGGTCACAAGGAAGAGGCCATCCTCTGGTGGGTCCTATTCTTCCACTGAAGCCCAAAACACCTATGGCCTCCCACAGAAGCAGAGGAAATGGACCCAAGGACTTCACAATTTGGTGGAAAGAGGAACATTTACTCAGGCTGCAATGTGGATTAAATGTCAGGTGCTAACCACCTGCCCAAAGCAGGTCCTGAAGCATTCACAGCTCAGGAACATTCAGAGCAGGAAAACATCCATCCCAGGACATCCACTGTGGTCCTCCTAGAACATGCTGTCAAGACTAAGATAGCACCTTTTCCTGGCAGACTAAGACCTCCTGACAGAGAAGGGTTCCCCAATTGGAGCCACTTGGCCCTGAGGACCACTTAACTGTTTCTGAGATCCCCCCAAGGGGAGGGGACTCACATTCAAGAGCATTCCATTTCCTTTGAACTTCTGGTTCATATTTAAGGGTTACTTGGAAACAAGATCAAACCTGCTAGAGCCCTCACTTAATGCAAGCTGCATGGTTCTCACAGTGCCAGTGGGCAGCTCCCACTGGGAGACCTCTCTTAAAAGCAGATGGACCAGAGAAGTGAGACAGGATGTGACACAAGTAGAAGCTGGCAGCCTGAACACTGGAGAAGGCAACAGTTCATCAAGCCCACAGCTGCTGAAGAAAGGTTAACACAGCCCCAGCCTCGGGAGCCTCAGCTGGAAGGGTGGGTGAGCCTGAGCTAATAACTGAAAGCTTTCTTACCATCCAAGGTAATCATGAGGGCAAGGCTGATGCTGAGAGGCTTCAAGGAGATGCAGGGCAGTCCTCACAAGGATCTACCTTTGTGCAAACTTGCTCCTTTCTTCTCCTGGACCCACCAGAACCAGGCCCACTCCTGCCCATGAGCCAGGCTCAAGGGGCCCCTGGCTCTGCCAAGTTCTCTAGCTCTAATCATTGAAATACCCCAAGGCTAAGCAGGTTTTCCCAGGCCCTGTGCCCCTTGGTGCTCCTGAGACACTTATCTACAGCTGGGCTGTTCTCAAGACTCATCCTTGCCCCCCTGAAGTGATGGAACACTGGGCTTGGTCAGTGTACACAATGCTGAGCTGGGACAGCTCTGGTTAGGGTGTAGGTTTCAAGGCTATTGGCAGAACCCTAGCCAAGCATTTTCTTGACCAGCAAGTTGCAGAATGCAGCTCCCTGCAGCCTCTCATCCATACTACCGGTGCTCTCAGGCACAGCCAGCTCCCAATGTACTACTGTCCCAAACAGACCAAGCTCAATGCCAAAGACCAGCAAGCTAAGGGCCAAGCCCATCCAGGGGGCTCAAAAACAGATGAGAGCCATCTGCCATCAAGTCTAGTGGGAGACCCACCAGAGCTCCCTCAGCTTATCAAACATCCACAAGGATGGGTTGTATGGACCAGACTCTCACATACCAGAGCACCATGTATTAGAAAATTCTGGACACAATGAAAACATTACCTTTTAATGATTACTTCATATGCCACTCTGACTTCTCCAATGTATTTGGTATTTGGCATAGCTATAAATTTTTGAATACTTTTCCTGTCAACAGGAAGTATAAGATGCTGAGGAGGAATCTTAGGGCAGGCTTATCATGCCTGGCAGCTATAAGAGGCACCACTGGAAGGCTAAATTCTAATTGCCATCCACAGGAAACAGATGGCTGGCTGAGCACCCAAGCCCTGGTGGACAATCACACAATGGGAAGGTCATATAGATGAGACTGGAGTTATTGACCAGGTCTCACCCTGCTGGCCCAGCAGTACCTCCATCTGCACCAACCGGCCCCTTTTTTTCTTTCTAGAATGTAAGCTGCTGGCAGCAACACGTTCTAGGTGCCTATAGGTACATGGAGGTCAGCAATGCTTGGATACCCCCTGTGCCACCTCCTGCACCACCTCCTGCAGGTACCATGATCCCACTGGCTAGACGGTGATCCCCTGCCAGTGATCCCCTGGGCTGTGCAAAGTTGAGCCCAGAGCAGTCTCCCGAGGTACAAACTCTGAAGCACAAAGGTAGAGGCCAGTCCTGAGCTTCACTATTCCAAACCTCTTGTCCATGTCTGTGTATATATGTAACGATGAAGAGTTCATTGTGAAATAAACCCCTCTGTTGGTAATGAGCCTCTTCCTCATTGCAGGACTTCAAGACACTTGAGAATCTGACATAGGAGCCCCAATCTACCCTTCCCCAGCATTAATTGGTAAGCGGGGCTTTAACATATGGGCCCAAAGTATAAGAGTGCACAATGAAAGAACCAGCAGAAAATGGGCCTTTTAGCAGAGTGTCATGGCTCATACCTGTATATCCTAGCACTTAGGAGAAATGTGAATTTGAGGCCAGCATGAACCATATAATGAGACCAGGTCTCAAAATAACAAAAAAGGAAAAAGGATGGGCTTTTTAACCCTTTTTTTTTTTTTTAATTATAGATTATAGCTTTGACTCCTTTGAAAAGCATGAATCTCTCCCTTAGACTGAGAGGAAACCTCCTAACCAGGCCATACACACAGGATTCTTGGGACCCTGCTGCAGTAACCAGGGCTGACCAGACCCTAGTGGTCAGGAGAGCACAGTGCCCTATGTAGCAGGAGCCTGAGTCTTGGGTACCAGCATACAGAGCTTCTGGATGGGGAAGTAGGTTCAGCCTTCAACACTCCAGCTGCAGATGGTGTGGGAACCATATTCCCATCCAGCCAGTTCAGGAGTCCATGTCAACAGCAGGCAGGCCCTGCATAATGTCACGGTCCAGCATCACTGGGCCCAACAGCCCACTGCGGAAGGTCCGGAGGAAGTCTCGGGCTGCCATGGCATAATTGGGCTGGGTAACTCTGACATCACCTGGGGCGGGGGGGGGGGGATTCTGATGAGAAAGGGGCCTTCAAGGATGGTCAGCCCTAAGAGATCCTTAGGGGTGCCATCAGTGAAGCCTAGGGAACAGAGAATGTTCAGAAAGAGTTCAGGTGTCATATCCACCCAGCATTACCCAGGGATAGGGACACCCACTGAAACCTACACTACAAAGCCCTTCTTCTCTAGAACCTTCCATTGCTCCTCATCCCCATGTTCGAATTCCAGGACTGCTGCCCACAGGTTCCCCTCTACATCTCCTTCCTGTCATCCTCCAGGTAGGGTCAAGGGTCCCAACAGGTGACAGGGTAAGGGCCCTATGCCATACGGTGCAGCCTCACTCACCTGTGCCTGTGAGCACCTTCACCTTCCGTGTCTTCCCCAGCTTCACAGCCACACTCTTCAGCACCTGCTCTATGTCATCACATGCACTGGCCAGGCCGTAGTGCTGCACATACCTGCACACCCCAGAAAGGTCAGACTTCTGTGAAGCTCCGAGTCTAAAGGGGGATTCCTACTCACTCATACCCTAGAGGAACAAGATGCTGGGCTCCTGAGAGGACCTGACTGCTTCCACGTAACTTAGTGCCCCAAGGACAAAGCTCAGAAATTTCTTACAGGAGAGCGGAGGCTCACTGACTCAACAAGGTAGAATTCAAACGTCCAGCACCCAGTCAAAAGTGACCAGGCATTCAAAGCAGAAGAGACCCAAAGTGAAGAGAAAAACCAGCTAACTATAGGTAACCCATTAGTAACTGGATGTTTGAATGGCAGACACAATATCAAGTCAGTTATAACCACATACCACACAGTTGCAAAGCTGACATTGAAAAAAGGTCTGAAGTGAACCTTTAAGCGAGAGGAAAAATGGGACAAACAGATGAACAATAAGCCAGAAAAGATGACCACGTAGACACTACAACAAATGCAGATCAGGAGCAAAGCATCTTGAGCAGTACACAGGGGCAAATGGCCTAGAAGCTAGTGACTCAGGTACCTGCACCAGACAGAAGTGAGAGGTCACAGCCAACCAGCACCACAATAAAGAGGAAGAAAATCTTCAGGTTCAGAAACCTCTGTGAGTCTCCACAGAGATAGCTAATACTCTGAATGTAACATCCTAGGTATATTTGGAAGAATCTTTTCTTACAGTTGAATATCCTTAAAGATAACTATTTATAGGGCTGAAGAGATGGCTCAGCAGTTAAGAGCACTGTCTGCTCTTGAAGAGGACCCAGGTTCAATTCCCAGCACTCACATAGTGGCTACGAATCATCCTTAACTCCAGTTCCAGGGGAATCCAAAGCCCTCTTCTGACCTCCACAACATTGCACGACACAGGTGCACTCACATACATGCAGGCAATACACACATACACATAAAATAATAATAATAATAATAATAATAATAATTAAAAAGATAACTACATAGCAAGAGATAACAGCAGTGTATCTGGGATTTATAGAATATGCAAAAGCAGGGTACAGTGACAGTGGCACACAGGACAGGATGAAAGAAACAGGACTTGGCTGTTGCAAGGTGACCCCTGAGATGCACTGGAAACCCTATACATAAAAGGTCATAGGTAACAAGCTAGCAAGGATGTTAAACGTAAAATGTCTAAATATTTTTTTTAATATTTTATTATTTTTATTTTATGTGTATGAGTGTGTTGCCTGCATGTATGTGAGTGCACCCGTGTCATGCAATGCCATAGAGGTCAGAAAAGGGCTTCAGATTTCCCTGGAACTGGAATTAAGGACAGTTTGTAGCTGCCATGTGGGTGCTGGGAATCAAACCCAGGTCCTCTGCAAGAGCAGTCAGTGCTCTTAACAGCTGAGCCATCTCTCCAGCCCTAAAATGCCTAAATATTTTAACATAAATGACAGACATTGTAAATCTGGATAAAATCAAGACCCAATTATATACAGCGTATAAAAAATATTTTTAGGGACTAGAGAGATGGCTCAGAGGTTAAGAGCACTGGCTACTCTTGTAGAGGACCCGGGTTTGAGTTCCAGCATGCATATGACTGCTATCAGCTATCCATAACTCCAGTTCCAGGGGAATTTGATGCCCTCTTCTGACTCTGTGGGCATTGCATGACACAGGTGCACTCATATAGATGCAGGTAATACACTCATACACATAAAATAAAAAATAATATATTTTTGAAAAAGAACAGTACATGTGCTTAACTGCTGAGCCATCTTTCCAGTCCCAGAAATATATTTTAAATATAAAGACAAATATACAGAAAATAAAAGATAGAAAAGGATATATCATGTTAACACTAATCAAAAGAAGTTGTGGTGGCTATATTACAACAGACAAAGGTTATCTCAGAGAGGAGAATATTCTGAGGGATGAGGAAGGTATCCCAATGACAAAAGCATCAAATTCAGAAGACAAAGGAGTGCCCTAAATGCTCTGCACCTAACAATATCCTAAAGCCTGAGCTGCAAGAACGCCAACAGGAAGTAGATGGATCCAGCAACAGCTCAAGGTTTTAATGTTCTTCTCAACAATTAGCAGTACAGATGGGCAGAACATCAGCAATATAGAATAAGGCCACAATGAAGACTGAACAGAAATCAATGAAGTAGCTGGGCCTGGTGACACATACCTGTGTTACTAGCATTTAGAAGGCAAAACAACTAAGATCTGGGAGCACCGTTCAATGTCAGAATACTTGTTTAGCATGTACAAGATACTTGGTGGGAAGGAGGGAGGGAATCAAGCTGCACATGTTAGTGCATGCCTGTAATCCCAACACTAAGGTAGCAGAGACAGGAGGATCACCAGGATAGCCTGATGTACATAGTGAGTTCCAGACCAGCCAAGGCTACCTGGGGAAACCCTATAGCAGAAAGGAGAAAGAGAAAGAGAGAGAATATGAATGAATAAAGAATATCAATGAAACCAAAAGCTGATCCTCAGGAAATAAAATTAATATACCTCCAACCAGACCTCACCTTTGTTTGATGAAATTAAATCTTCATGAGATGCAATAAGCAATGGTGTTATAATATTGTCAATTTCTCTCCAACCATACCTCCAATCTGAGGCATACACTCAATGGAATTTGTTGTCCCAAAGGCTGAGCATGGTGGCGCACGCCTTTAGTCTCAGCACTCATGAGGCAGAGGCAAGCGGTTCTCTGCTGAGTTCGAGGCCAGCCTGGTCTACACAGTGAGTTCCAGGCCAGCTGGGGCTACAGGGAGACCCTGTTTCAAAAAGACCAAAAAGAAAAAGAAAAAGAAAAAAGAAAAAAAAAAGTGGGACTTGGTTTGTTTTGAGTTTAAGTTTTTGGTAATGGTAAGGATTAAACCCATGATCTTGTACCTGCCAGCACTTTACCACTGAGCAGTGAGTATACCCTCACCCCTAAAAGTGACAAACTTATAAAGTTCATATGTGAATATGCAGAAACTAAAACAGCCAAAGCAACTTTGAAGAAGAGTGAGGCTGAAGAGGATCAAAGGTAACATAACCAAGACAGAGTCACAGGAGAGACCAGCCACAAGCATATGTACATAGCAGTGTGGATCCCCAGCAAAGGTGGAAGACAACTAGTAGAAAAAGTCCTCAACAAACCTCTCTGGAGTAACTGGTTATCCATGTGCAAAATAAGAACTTCATGGCTGCACCATACCAAAAGCACATATAAAAACCTACCAAAGAGAGTCATAGACTAAATGTGAAACCCAATTAATCTTCAAGAAGAAAACAAAACCCTGTGATCCTGGGTTAGAAAAATTCTAAGAGATGTATCTCATTACTAAATCAGATTTCCAAAACTAAGACTATCTGTCCCCAAACACAATGTTAAGAAGAAAAGGCCTAGGCACGGTGGTGCACACCTTTAATCCCAGCTCTTAAGAGATAGGCAGGGGGATCTCTGTGAGTTCCAGGCCAGACAGGACTATACAGTGAGACCTTATCTCAAAAAAAAAAAAAACAACAACAAAAAAAAAAAGCTGGAGAGATGGCTCAGCAGTTAAGAGCACTGGCTGCTATTGCAGAAGACCCAGGTTCGAACCCCAGCACCCACATGGCAACCATCCAAAACTCCAGTTCCAGGGGATTCAATACCCCTTCTGGCCTCCATGGGCATCGCACAACATGAGTACACTTACATATATGCAGGCATCATTCATACACATAAAATAAAAATTAATTTAATTAATTGATTTTGTATGATAATCTCAGATGTATTTGTATGTCAAAACTTATCAAATCACACGCTTGTAAGAGTGTGCAGATTATGTAACACCTAAATGCTGTATTTATAAAACCACACCTGGCTAGGATGAGTAAACAGTGGGGTGCAGCTCCTACACCCACTGCCACTCACCCAAATAGCCCATGCCTGTTGAGGGTATAGAGGAGATAGTCAGCCATGGTCTCCTCTCCAACCAGGTGGTCCAACACAGTTCCTGAAAGACAGGCGGTCAAGGCAAGCACATGAAACAGTAGGCATCTGTGGCCCCCCAAACCTGCATGCCTCCCAACTGAAGCTAGAAGACCCTGAACCTCCATTCAGGGAGGTTCACAATTGTTGGCCTTCCTCCTGTGTGGCAAGTGACTTGGTTGCCAGACACAAACTCTCCATCCACCCCTGTACCAGGTAGAATGGAAGCCAGCACATACATACTATGAGCTAGTCTTCCTCCCATAGCTTTCAGAAGCATCTGGCAGCAGGCAGAGTAGAAGGAGTAACAACTCCACCTGCCTAGGTGTCAGTCAAGGTCAGCAGTGGAACCCCAACAATGGGGCAGAGGGGTACTCATCCCTAGCAGGGGCTCACCACATATGGCCAGCTTCAGGCCTGTCTCCACATTTTCAATCCGAGGAGCTAGCACCCCAGGAGTGTCCAGCAGGAACATGAGTGGATGCTCACACACCTGTGCAGCAGAGGGTGGATCAAGCCAGACAGCAGTCTCTGCCCAACAGCCAAACGGTAGCAAGAAACTCTGAGAGAGGGCCCTGGATAAACCCACATAGGTCTCTTTTCACTGAGCTATAAGATCCTCATAGGATTTAATTTCTGTTTAATTTGGAGAACAAATTCCCACGGAAAACAAAATGCATAGAGTGTGGCTCTGGCAGGTGGGGTAACAAGGCTGCTTTCCTGACAGGTTTATATAAGGACAGAACAGCACTTGGCAGTAACAACATGAGTGGAGAGAAAGAAAGGAGGTCAGAGGCAGAGCCAGTGCTGCACTCAGTGGTACTAGGCTCAGCAGAGCCTGTAAAGCTCTGAGCCAAGCTCTGGACTCATGTACCAAAGACACTACCTGGATTCTAGATGTCACAGCTCTGGTGATCCCTGGCTCACCACCCACTCTGGCAGCTTTTCCTGTAAGACAGAAAGAAGTCATCAAATATTTGGACAAAGCAACATAAGAAGCAATGAAAAGTATGTAGCTAACACACCTAGCAATCAGAATATAAACCTCAAAGTCTAACTAACAAGTTTGTTAAGGTGTAATTCATTCCCTACTCAACCCCAAAGAGCACATGGCAGAGGTTTTCAAAAGCCAGGCACACTGGCCTAGGGCCCAACAAATGCCCAGAGCTCACTCCCCAATGTGGAAAGGTGCTCCCTAACTATAAAAGTCAGATCAGGTAGGCTGGAGAGATGGCTCAGTGGTTAAGAGCACTGGCTGCTCTTGCAGAGATCTAGGTTTGGTTCCCAACATCTACATGGCAGATAACAACTTTCCATAACTCCAGTTCCAGGGAATCTGATACCCTCTTCTGACCTCCACGAGCATTGCACAACATGGGTGCACTTACATATATGCAGGAAATACATTCATACATATAAAAAATAAAAATAATAAATTTAAAGAAGGAAAAAAAAAGATCAGAGCTGCTCTTCCACCTCAGTGCCCCTCCTAGACCTGTCTTTTAGCACTACCCATAGCAGGCAGGCCAATGTCAGTCTTGATTCCAATGCTGTGACTGTCTAGGATAAGGACCAGCTCAGAGGACCTGAGAAAAGTTGTCCACCCACTGCCAAACCATCTCAAGAGTAAAGGGGTAAAAGTGTCCATCACAGATCACCAGACACAGTACAGACAGAAACCTAAGGAGGAAAGAACTGCTGACCAAGTTCCAACGTGAATGAACCTAGGATGCTGAGTGAGATAAACTAGTCCTTAGAGGACAAACATGAAAGGCTCCTAGGGGCTGAAGAGATGGCCCAGCAGCTAAGAGCACTGGCTACACTTTCAAAGGACCCGGGTTCAATTCCACAGCCATCCATAACTCCAGTTCTAGGGGAATTTGACACCCTCTTCTGACCTATACAGGCATTGCACAGCATGGGTGCAGTTACATACATGTAGGCGATATACTCATACACATAAAACAAAAATAAAATATTTTAAAAATATAAATTTTGCCAGGCATGGTGGTGCACACCTTTAATCCCAGCACTCAGGAGGCAGAGGGAGGCAGATCTCTGTGAGTTCAAGGCCAGCCTGGTCTACATAGTGAGTTCCAGGACAGCTGGGGCTTACAGGGAGACCCCGACTCAAAAACACCAAAAAAAAAAAAAAAAAAAAAAAAAAAAACATAAATTTCTCAGCCTTTAACGTTGTTAACAGGTTTTTTTTTGTTTTTGGATACAGGGTCTCCCTATGTAGCCCTGACTGACCTGGAACTCACTATGTAAACCAGGTTGGCCTCAAAATCAGAGATCTACCTGGCTGCCTCATGAGTGCTGGGATTAAAGGGGTGTACTACACCCAGCTGTAAATGATTTTAAAAAACACTATTGTTAATATGAAAAATGAAGCCAATGAGATTGAGTCCAAAGTCTAAACTACATAAAAGTCAAGAGACATGAAGGTATGAAGAATATAAAACGTGTAATAAATGGCTGTCCACCACGTAGTCCTCCATCAGACTGTTAACTGTCCTTTTAGCAGAACAGGACCTGAGATATAGAAAGGATGCCTCAGAATAACACAGGGCTGGCCATGCTCTTTCAAAATCCTCTCTAAGGGTATAAGTCAGCACACCATTACTACCTACCTGTTCTGAGGTGCTGCCGCCGCAAGGAGTTAATGAGGGATGACTTGCCCACGTTGGGGACACCAACTACCATGATGCAGTATTCCAGGTTCTATAGAGGCAGAAGAATCTCAGACTCAATCTGTCCAGGCTGTGGAATCCACAGCCCAAGGGAAGAAGAAGTCAACACAGAAGCCTTGTGCTGGCCAATGGGCTGGCCTGGCCCTTCCCACTGAAGGACAGCAAAAACAAAGACTGGGTCCTGGCTGGCATACTGCCTAGTCCTCTGCACTAGAGTAGTGTTAAAATAATCAGGCACATAGGGAGTGGGCAACTCCATATATCTACCCCCAGCTCTGCATCCAACCAATCAACCAACCAACCTCTGCTCGGTGATAGCGGTAACTGCATCCGATCAGCTCCGTGACTTTTGGGATGATCTGCAACAAACCAGCCACATCTTTGGGTCCTTCATCCCTCACTGACCCACTTCTAGCCACGTTCAAAAACCAGGATCAGGGACTGTCTTTTCACTCCTTGATTAAGAGAGCAAAGACCTCACACAGACTTTACTAGGCAGCTGAGAAAAAACTTTAGCATCCAGATCACAGACAACCAACCATCCAATCAAGCCACAGCTAACTGGGATTCATTCACCCCCAAAAGAGCAGAGAAAATAAGTTACTAGACTGTTTATTACTAATAGTCTCAGAATGCTCCCTCAACACTTACCTCAGGCAGCGCAGCCCAGGAGACCCTGCATCCCTGAGCAGCAAAAGCCCATTCCAGGATCTTATACTACCTGCTTATCAACCAGTATCCCAAAACATCAACCAGTATCCCAAAACATAAACACTAGCATGTAAACAGATGCTTACCTGCTTGATGTTTTCATCCTTTATACAGTTTGTAAAAATGACATTTTTTATACCATTTCCTTCCAAATAATGGACAATTTCCTGAAAGAGACATTAATACTTTAAACACTGTATGAAAATATGGATGTTTTGCCACAGTAAAACTTGAGAATTTGAACTTGGGGCCAGTAAGACAGGTACAAGCACTTGCTGCCAAGCCTGATGACCCAAATTCAATCCCAGGAATCTGGCACACATATATCCATAGATACATACACACACACACACAAACACACACAGCAAATTAAATAACAAATGTAGAAAAAAAAAATCTAGGGCTGGAACAATGACTCAGCAGCTAAGAGCACTGGCTGCTCTTATAGAAGTCCTAGGTTTGGTTCCCAACACCCACTTGGCAGCTAACAACCATCCATAACTCCAGTTCCAGGGGGATCTGATGCCCTCTTCTGACCTCGGTGAGCATTACATGACATAGGTGCACTTATACATGCAGGCAATATACTCATACACATAAAATTTTTTAAAAATTTTTTAAATCTTAGAAGAAAAAAAAACACCTAGCCAGGTATAGTGATGCATGCCTTTAATCCCAAGACTCCAGAGGCCGAGGCAGCAGATCTCCATGAATTCAAGGTTAGCTGGTCTACATAGCAAGTCCCAGGCCAGCCAGAGGTACACAGTAAGACCTTGTCTCAAAAAAAAAAAAAAAACTTCCAAGCTTGAAATACACTGCCAGGGGCTGGAGAGATGGCTCAACAGTTAAGAACACTGGTTGTTCTTGCAGAAGACCTGGATTCGAATCCCAGCGCCCACATAGCAGCTAACAACTGTCTGTAATTCCAGGTCCTGGGGATCCAACAGACTCTTCTGTCCTCTGAGGACACTGCACAACACAGATGCACTTACCTACATGCAGGCAATACACTCACACACATAAATAAAAAATAATAAATATAAAAAACAAAAAAGAGGGGCTAGAGAGATGGCTCAGTGGTTAAGAACACTGACTGCTCTTGCAGAGGACCTGGATTCGATTCCCAGCACCCACATGGCAGCTACGAACTGTCCTTAACTCCAGTTCCATGGGAATCCAAAGCCCTGTTCTGACCTCCGCAGCATTGCATGACACGGGTGCACTCACATATATGCAGGCAATATACTCATACACATAAGATAAAAATAATAAATAAAATATAGAAAGAAAGAAAGAGAGAGAGAGAGAGAGAGAGAGAAAGAAAGAAAGAAAGAAAGAAAGAAAGAAAGAAAGAAAGAAAGAAAGACAGACAGACAGACAGACAGACAGACTGCAGGCACATTCATTTGCTCAAAGTCAACTTGGGCTCCAGGAGCTGAGGAGCAAGAAGTGGACACCAGCAAGTCAATGAGGCATCTAGACTCTGACAACAAAGGAGCTTAGAAGACAGAGGCCTGAACCCATCACTAGGTCCTCAAGAGGGCAGGAGGAAAGAGCCAGCACAGCTGGGCTGTCCTGTTTCTGTACCCAGGCTCTGCTAGGGTAAGGACCAAGGGACACAGCCTGCCCCTGGGAACATCAATGTCTCTGAGCATAAAATGGGACTGATCCAAGGTCATTTTGATGCCTCATCAGCACTGAACTCACATGAGTTGGCTTCTCTGAGGAATCCTATTGCTCTCTCATATAACATATGAGACTCTATTTAAACTGAAATGGTATTGAAGCCACTCTGATTACAGAGAATATTTACTAAAAGCCCAAAGTAAACTAAGGCTGACATAAATTCAATAGACTTAACATTCAGTATAATCAGTATTCAGCTGCATGTTTCATTAATATTCACATCTATAAATATATATTGAAAAATAATAGTGTTCAGTGGTTACTGGCCACAATATATGGTCAATGCTTAAATGAAAAAGTAATTTATTAATTCAGTTGGTTTTTGTTCTTTCTTTCAGTTCCTTGTTACATATAACATAGTTAATACACGGGCCATTACAGAGTCATTCATACTGAATCCACAAATATTCATTCAGGCTGTCCCTCTGGCAGCAGGAGGCAGAGAGGGTGGGGCCCAGCGTCCATTCAGAAGCCTGGTATTCCTCTCACCCTGCACCTGCCCAGTAGAGGGCAGTATACACAAGTCTGTGAAGGCTAGAGTTTTGAGAGCAGAAGCAATGTGCCATCTTGAGTCTCAACTAATAAAAGCAATTGAAAACATCTGAAGCTAAACAACCAAATGGAGTGAAACCAGAAGCCTGCACAGCAGGTGAGACTCCTGATCAGCTCCCTAGGTCTCACAGCAGGGTGCCACCACACTGAAATGCCTTGGCCATCCTCCTGACCTTTCCCTGTGTCAGGGTTAAATAACTTTCTTGTGTTAGAGTTATAACTAGAATGTGACAGTCACCTAAAAAACCTAAGAGAACTGTTGTTCTGCAACCATTAACAACTTTTTAAAAACTGGCTTGAATTCAAGACCCTGATATCCCTCTTTGCAACGAATTTGACAACAATCAGAAAAAGTAGAGTCAACACTTACTTCTGGGCCATACAGAAAACACACTGCCCTGGGGCCCAATTCTGCCTGGCTTTAGAAACTGTCAGCTACTTTGAGCCTTTTACACCCTGATCCCACATCCAGCCCTTCCAGCTTCTGGATCATATGGTGTGTAAAAAGCAACCACCAGCAGAAAACCTGAGGTCAGACTGGGTATATAGACAGCTGGGAGAAACTGCAACCATCACAGAAATCCAGGCCATACCAAAGGTGACCAAGGCTACAAGCAATAGCCTCACACAGCTTCTCAAACTCGTTAATTAAAGCTAACTAAAATGTCCCTTGGCTACAGTGGTTGCATCTGGCCAAAGGTCACCATGTGGTACAGAGTGGACAGAGCATCTATCATATAGGAAAGGCCCACTGAAGAATGTGGCTATGGTGGTCACCAGGGCTCCAGCAGCACACCAAATACTACCCTCAGAAGGTGTGGTCTTCTTGAATATTTGAACCATAAGTTTATATTTGAGGGAAGAAGCTCTGTTGAGAAGCCAAGCTAGAAGTCTTCTGCAAAGCCAGGAGCTATTTCTAAAACACAGCCTGCTCAGGAGTTTAACAGAGTTTCTCTCCATCAGTGGCTCTCACACTGCTACTGATTATCTGTGAGAAGGCACATACCTGCTGCTCTGTGAGATCTGCCAAGTCCTTTTTGTTAAGGACAAGCAAATGAGGCTTCAGCCCAAGGGTCTCTTGGAACAGAGGATTGCGACCCGAAAGTGGGATGTGCTGGTATTAAGGCAAAATCCATTCAGAGCTTTACTGGTGGTTATTTTGCTTTGTCTGCCTCACCCAGGAGCTGAAGCCAAAGGAAGAAGCACCATCTCAGAGTAGGTTCAGGCCACCTTCCAAACCCAAGAACTGTGAAGCTAACCCTGGTGCTGCCCTGGTGCTTATGAAGGGTGCCAGGGTAGGTGGTCGGGTAGGACAATCACATAGCTTCCAAACAAGGATGATGGAAAGAAATCAAAGCTCAGAGAAATGCTACTATTTACACACCAAGTTATCTAAGTTTGAAATGAAATCTGAGAAAAAGAGATTCCAATGAAGTCCTGACTAGATTACCTCAGAACTCCACCCTACCCTCTGTGGCCAGAAAGTACACACAAGGCACCTACCAGTTGTACATATAGGTAAGCAAGCCCTTTTCCCCAGAGCTCTTTGAAGATAAGCCACCTCCTTACTGTTATCCACAACTACCCTAGGCATCTGATATGGAGTTTCACTTTACATGACACTAATACAGGCAGGATGGGGCTTCTTATCTCTACCTTCTATCCTTTTAGCCCTTCTGGTAAGATCTTGTGCAAGAGTCCCAAGGCCTCTACCTACCCCATCTAGGTACCCAGGTAAGTTTCTATCTCCACCCACATGGTCCTTTTTCATAGCTGACCAATCCTATGTCCATTCATAAATCCAAGCCTCCAGGCTCCTCTCCCAGGATGCTAGAGACCACTATCCAACACAGACTCACTGTCATATCCTAGATTCGGTAGAATGATCCAGAGACTATCAGTATATGCTGAAAAATAACCATGCTTTTTAAAAAATAATCAGATTGATAGTTGTCACATCTAATAGCATGCCATATGTTAGGTGAGTAGAAAGTTATAGCCTAAAACAAAGAAAACTAATGTTTTGTTACCAAAGTTCCAACTGTGAATTTTGAAATGGTCTCAGGGTCTCTTACTTGCCACTATTTCCAGAGACTCCCACCACTGGCATTAGGGCCTCACACCCACCAACAGCTGTTCTGGGTGGTACCATCCAAGGGTCTGGGTGGAGTGATCTGACCTCCCCATGCTTTTCTGGAGCTGAGTAGGCAAAATGTTAAGAACTCACATACCAGAGCTGGAGAGATGGCTCAGCAGTTAAGAGTACTGACTGCTCTTGCAGAGGACCCTGGTTCAATTCCCAGCACCCATATGGTGGCTACAAACTGTCCTTAACTCCAGTTCCAGGAGAATCCCAGACCGTCTTCTGACCTCTGCAGCATTGCATGACACGGGTGCACTCAAATACATGCAGGCAATGAAATAAAAATAATAAATAAAACTTTTTTAAAAAAAGAACTCACATATCAACACCTGCAATCACAGAACCTAATCACAGCTTGGCGCACACCTTTAATCCCAGCACTCTGGAAGGCAGAGACAGGCGGATCTCTGTGAGTTCAAGGCCAGCCTGGTCTACAGAGTGAGTTCAGGACAGCTGGGGCTACAGGACAGAAGGAAAGCTCAGGTTGGCAGGAATATTTAATCTCTGGTTTCATAACCTACCCAGAGAAACCAAAGGCTGAGAAAAATAATGTAAAAGCCGCCCAGTAATTCTGATGTGTAATTAGAGCTGAGAAATGCTGCTGTAAGTGCAAGTAAATACAAGTGAAGTTTCCGATAGCTGTAGACAGCTCACTGGACCTGAGCCAGAGCAGATCAGGCTGTCTAAAGGAGGTGGGCAGAGAGCGGAAAAGCTTCCCGAGGCCTCTGCAGCCTAGCGCGAGGCTTTCCTACAGCTTGAAAGGATATCCGGGCGTCATGAACCTCAATGACACAGTCCACCAGCTTCAGACTGCTCTGCATCTTCTTTAGCCCTGGAAGACAAAAGATCGCTAAGGAAAGAGTCCAGAGAGGCATATTTAAGTTGGACTGTTAAGAAAACTACCTAAAACAGTCAGAGAACCCATCCGTGGACATAGAGCTGAAGGAAGCACCCTGCGAGGCCAAGTTCTGAGTGGCACGCTCCACTTCTGAGGGTCTTGGGTACTGATCTGAAGGTCCTAGATACTGTGCGAACCTCAAATACATACCCCATCCTGCTCCGGCAACCACACAAAAATAAGCTATGAGGCTCCACTCCGAAGCTGCTACCCTGCGCCCGCCGGCGCCTATTTCTGACACCTGCCTGCCGTCTTAACAGCCAGCCTGGCAGCGGGTGCGCGGCAACAAGCCAGACAGCGCCCCACGGTGCCAGCTGTCAGCCTGAGGCCAAATTGAGACCTATAAATTAAAAGATCACAAAGACTCTTCGGCAGGAAAAAATGACTCAAGAATAAAGGCGGGACACCCTTCGCCTACATGTATGTGCCTTCACAGGTCCACTCCGTCCGCCTCAGTGTTCAGAGCACCGAGTGCAGCTGAGACCCGAGGTCGGGAAGGCGACCGGTGGCGACGCACATGCCGGAGCCCGGGCTGCCCGTGCTTCCCGCCGGCCTCACCCTTGGCCATGTGGCCCGGGAACCATCGTGCCACGTCGCGACCGTGGAGGGGGAAGCATTCGCGCCAAACACCGCGAGCAGCGTACAACACACGCAGAGACAGCCTCATGGCGCCCGGGTCGGAAGCGTTCGCCAACGCACAGCCTCCCGGAGGTTCTCAACCCGCATACAGTGTTCCGGTGCACCAGCGTTCCTCGCACGACTGCGCAAGCGCACCCCTCGAAAACCAGGTGGGCGGCACCGGAAAGTGTTGAGGACCAGGCCACTAGGGAACCTAGGGCTGAGCAGTTCTCAAGAGTTCCTGGGTGCCTGTGAGGTTCTTTTCAGCAATTTGGGGATTTCGTTTTTTTAAAAAAAGACTTTTATTTTAACCCAGGTGTAGTAGCACACACCTTTAATCCCAGCACTCAGGAGACAGAGCTCAGTGAATTCCAGGCTAGCCTGGTCTACATAGTGAGTTTCAAGCCAAGCAGTGCTACATAGTGAGACCCTGTCTCAAAAACTTAGTTTATCTTATTTTTTAAAGAATTTCTTTTAGGGGTGTGTGTGTCCTGGACTTCAAGTAGTTGTGAGCACTTAAGAGCTGTGTGATGGTGTTGGGAACAGAATTCGGGTCCTCTGCAAGAGCTGCAGACATTAACTGCTGAGTCATCTCTCCAGTCCCTCTTTGGAGGTTTTTGCTACATTTAAAATGTCTCAAGGTTGAGCCAGGACTGGTGGCCCAGGCCTTTAATCCCAGCACCCAGGAGGCAGAGGCAAGCAGATCTCTGTGAGATCAAGTCCAGCCTGGTTTACATAGCAAGTTCCAAGCCAGCTGGGGCTATAGGACTACCCTATCTAAAAAAATAAATAAAATAAAATGCCTCAAGATTAAGGCTGTCACTCAGTGGAAGAGCACTTGCCTGCATGCCCAGAAATCTAGGTTGAAACTACCAGCTCTACAAAAGCAAACAAAAATAATTTTTTAAATAGTCTCAGGTGTGATAGACACCTAAGTGTGAACAAAAGTTCCCAGAAATAAAAACAAAACCCTGCATCTTCAACCGAACCTTCTGCAAGGCTGATTATAACTTAATGATTGTGGAGTTTAGAAATCTGCAAGTCCAGATCTAACTTCTACTTGTCTTGGGCTATCTTTAGCTACCTAAATAACCACTCCTTGTCCACCTCTATGTTTAACCTAACATTCGATGACTAACATAAAAACCTTTTGGAACGTATTCCTTTTGGAATGTTTTCACCAACCATCTGAGGCCTGTAGCTGAGATGTCTCCACTTTGCTGTGACTGCCTATTTAATGTTTCCACCAATGTATTTGAAAAGTGCTTTGACTTATGACTTCATTACTATAAAAAGCTTCATGAAACCGTTTCCATGTTGAACCATAAAATTCGGGATAACTTAAGTCTGTTCTGGGGCCATGGTCACTGGTTTCAGAATAAACTACCTCTTATCCCCTTTGCAGTGAGTTCTGTTTCTGCATTGACACAGTAATCCTAGTGTTGTGCCCAGAGAATGGATCCCCAAGAATAACCACGGAATCCAGAGGGCATGCAAGAACAAAGAGTCTTTATTCGGGCTTAAGCTCGGGCTCTCAGACCTCACCAACGCAATGGATCTGTGCTGAGAGCTCCGATTGCAGGGGGAGGAAGCCTTTTATAGGTTTTAGACCAAGGCAGGAGGGGAATAACAGTCACATCTTGATTGGTCCGAGGAGCCTACACGTGCCAACACACTTTTGAATTGATTGGTTACAAGGGATGCAGTCCTGGGGGTTTCTCATTGGCGGGTGCTACCCTCAGAGCTATGGAATGTGCTGACTGTTACCTGTGAGGCCAGAAGTCTCTGTTCTTACCTTATAAGGCTGCTATATGCCTGGGCCTGCTTGATCTATAGCCTCCTGGGGTGGGGGTAGTAGGTGGAGATTACGACATGCCTGGATAGGTCCAGGCTTGCCTGAAACAACTAGTCAAAATGGGGTCAGTGCAGTTTGTCCTCTCAGCCTAGCAATCAAGCAGTTTGTTTACAGAAGCGAGAAAGAACCATTATTCCTAAAGAGGAGCAGGGGTCTCAGGAGTCCAGGGCAGGGGGCCAGAGGAGGGTTTCACACTAGCACCTGACAGAGGCAAGAGGGTCAGAAGTTCAAGGCCAGCCTCAGCTACATTGCAAGTTCAAAGCCAGCCTAAGATATCCTGTCTTTTAAAAATGCCCTATTGCGGGGATGGAGAGATGGCTCAGTGGCTGCTCTTGCAGAGCACCCACATGGTGTTTAACAACCATCCTTAACTCCAGTTCTAGGGAATCTGATGCCCTCTTCTGACCTCTGTGGGCACTGCACGACATGGGTGCACTTACTCATAGACATCTAAAAAAAGAAAAAAAATTTTAGATGGTCTAGGCTAGGCTACAAAGTAGCCTAAAAAGGGGGGGAAAAGGGGGAAGATAAGGGGGGAGTAAATGTGTTCAGATTTTTGTTTTAAGACAAGGTCTCACTATGTAGCCTAGGCTAACCTCAGAGATCCACCTGCCTCTCCCTCCCAAGTGCTGGGATTAAAGGGATGTGACATCATTTCTGCCTCTCAGATTTTAAGTTCCCAAGCTTATCAGGCTGATTCTCTACCATGGCCCAACCCCACCCCTAGCAGCTCAAATCCCCCTAGCTTCTTCCCTCTTTGTCAGGCCTGTTGCTCTAAGTGTCAACCTGGGCCTATCTCTGGAAACTGAAACACTTCCCCAAGTGTCAACAGTAAAGACCTTTGCCTGTGAAGAAAGCTGCATTCTTTGTCCTAAAGCCATAGATTACAATAAATCCTGCTGGAGTTTGGCTTCCTCCCTTGGTTGACTGGCAAGTATCCCATGCAGGACCAGTCTGGTGACATAAGCACTCTCCAACAGTCTCATTGTCTCACGATTAACACACTCCAGAAGGATGAATAGGCATACAGAGAGCTGGACTGTGAGTGAGCAGGCCTCAACCCTTTCTTACAGCAGGTAGAACCAGAGCCCAGGCCCAGATGAAGCAGGATGATTGTCCTTAAATAAAAAGGGCCAATGATAGCCTCAGGCTGTGCAATGTTGGGGTTCAAGCCTTTGCAAGCTCCTACACCTCACCTCTGCAGCACCACCCTGATAACTACACTAACCTCCCGAGTCTCCACTATCAAAGGAGATGTGCAAGCTGCTGTGACAGCTGCAGCACTATGAAATATTAATTTATTAAAGTCTAATGTCCTGTCCCCTCCGCCATGTAAACAGAAGCATCAGGGTCTGTGCCCTGGAGCTGCTGTGAGGATACAGTAAGACTAGACTGGAAAACATCTAATTGACCCACCCAATATTGCCCAACTACCCAAACATTCCCTAGTACCCTCCCCAACCCCACCTCAATATTCCCTGTCTCCGACACCCTCCCCAGACCCACCCCATTTTTTGACCAACCCATTCCCAGATAGTCTTTTTTTCTTTTCTTTTTTCCCCTTCACTCTCTCAAGAAAGCCTAAAGCCAGGTCGGGACAGGACACCTTTCCCTGCCTTTCACAATCTCTTCAGTTTTCCACCTTCATCCAGCCTACCACACTAGGGTGCCTGACATAGATCCATTAATGATCAAAGGGGAAGTTCATTAGTCATACTGTGGTCCTGAACACCAGCAGTGGAAACAGGGGAGGGTAGGCACCTTCAGAAACTGAGGGCAAGGGGTAACCACAGGGCCTAAGTCTCAAAGAACCCAGAGGGAACAGCCACTTATTGGGGGTACAAGGGGGCAGAGACAGGACCCAGAACCAGCTGGGGATACTGCAGCTCAGGGGCTTGAGGATTCCAGACCCAGGCGGTATGAACTGCTTTATGTGTGCAGCAGTAGGGTTAGTGGGTCATCCATGACTTCATGCTCAGTCCAAGCCAGACTCCAAGGACAGACGTGAGAAAATGAGACTGCTTTTGCAAAAAGAAAGCTGTCAATAAGATCTCTAAACCTCAAGCCAGATTGAAAATCATCAGACAGAAGGAGGGGCCCATCACCCACATGGTAGAGCAGAGCAGCAGGCACTCAGAGCCTGCGCCAAGGCTGCTGTGCCTGTGAGTTCCACAGACCGAACAGGCGTTCAGCTTCCCTCCAGCCAGAGAGCAGGGCCCCATGGGTGGTGGAGTAAAACGTCCGATGTGTGGCTTCTCCAGCAAATAGTATCTGAAGCTACAGAAAAAAAGCCAAATTAGAATAGGGATGTGATGAGGATAGCTGTGGAGAAATACACAGAACACGAAGTCCCACTTATCTATTTGCATCGACAAAAGGGCAGAAGACATCATTGCCCCATTCTGGACAGGTGCGAGTGCTGCGATGCCCAGGTGGTAGGGCAGCAACTCATAATCAGCAGAGTTGCTGAACCACCATGGGAGGTTAAGGCTAAAGCTTATCCTACAATGTAAGAAGTCACTGCCTACAACTAAAAGTGACAGGACAGTGCAAGCTGACAAAGGCCATGAGATACCTGGAAAACTAAACAGTCAACACCAGGTGACACTGTGTAGCTTCTTGACTTTGGAGGGAGGGAGAGCACAGCTTGCATTTATTTTTTAATATTGTTTGCCTTAGAGATACACATCATAATATCTGTATACAAGGCATGCTCAACACCAGTAATGGGCAGTGGGCAAAGCCTGCTAGGGGTAGAGACTACTGCTGTACCTACTTCTCTATAATTGATGGTTTCCATAATAAACTTTTTCCTGTTTTGTTTTGTTTTTTGCTTTGTTAAGATAGGGTCTCACTCTATGGTCCAGGATATCCTGAACTCACTCTATAGTCCAAGCTAGGCTAGCACCTGTGGTGATCCTTCTAGCTGGAATTACAGGAGCCACCACACCAGCCTGAACATGTGCTTTAGAGATCAGAATCAGATGGAGAGCTTGGCGAGGGAGGGAGGTGTCAATAAGTGATAAGAGTGCTTGCCTAGCATGCTCAGGGTTTCATCGATACAAAAGGAGAAGCAATCAGCTGGAAGAATAATCTGGGGAGGGGACAAATGTCCTCACCAGCTACTTTTGTTTAATTTTACTTCTGTAGCCAGCACTATAAATTTTTCTGACCCTTTAAGCGTATGTATAATTATGATAGGAATGACATTTTGATTGGTTTTTTTTTGGTCTTTTTGAGACAGGGTTTCCCTGTAGCCCCAGCTGGCCTGGAACTCACTATGTAGACCAGGCTGGCCTTGAACTCACAGAGATCCGCCTGCCTCTGCCTCCCCGAGTGCTGGGATTAAAGGCGTGGGCCACCACACCGGGCTAGGAATGACATGTTTTTTTTATTTTGATTTTCGTGTTTGCTTTTTTTTTTTTTTTTTAATGTTTTTTAATAGTGTTTTGCCTACATGTACTAAGTGCACCCATGTCATGCAATGACTGCAGAAGCCAGAAGGTGTCAGATTCCCTAGAACTGGTGAAGGATGGTTGTTAGCTGCCATGTAGATGCTGGAAACTGAACCCAGGTCCTCTGCAAGAGCGTCAGTGCTCTTAACTGCTGAGCCATCTCTTCCAGCCCTGGTTTTTGTTTGTTTTTTGACACAGAGCCTTACTAGCCCTGACTAACCTTGCTATATAGACCAAGCTGTTCCTGAACTTGCAGCAATCCTCCTGCCTCTGCCACCAGGGTGCTGGGATTTATGGGTGTGTACCACCACACTTGGCTTTAAGTTACTCTTTGTGTGTGTGTGTGTGTTTGAGATAGGATCTCTCTCTCTATAGCGCCGGCTGGCCTGGAACTCACTATGCAAGACCAGATTGGCCTTGAAATCACAGAGATCTGCCTGCCTCTGCCTCCTGAGTGCTGGGATTAAAGGCATGCACCAACACGCCTGGCCTTAAATTACTCAATATCAAAAAGAAATGACTCTTGCTGGGCGTGGTGGTGCACGCCTTTAATCCCAGCACTCAGGAGGCAGAGGCAGGCAGATCTCTGTGAGTTCAAGGCCAGCCTGGTCTACATAGTGAGTTCCAGGACAGCAGGGACTACAGGGAGACCCTGTCTCAAAAGACCAAAAAAAAAAAAAGAAAAAAAAAAAGACTCTCAGTCTCAGTCTGAGCGATCCCAGCCCCCGACTCATTCATGCTGCAGTACCTTTCGGCACTCATGGGGCCTCAGCAGCAGGATCCCTGGTGCCCCACCCAAGGCAGACCACTATACCTGGGTGCTACTGCTGTCGGCAGGGAGAGGCTGGGCCAGCAGATCTACATCATCCCCAGTGCTGCCCACAGCCACATAGCTGTAGGAGCCTCGGGTGTATGGGGCACTGTGCCAACGAGACCTCAGCATGCTCTTGGGTGCTGGCAGCTGTGGGTTTCCTAAACCAGACAGATATAGCATGTTAACCCAGAATTCTCACTAGCCTAGAAGAAAACTGAGCCAGTGTTTTCCTAAGAGGCACCCTGTTTCAGCTGCTCTGCTCAGCACTACACAACTGGTGCCGATAAGCAACATCATGAAGACGCTTCCTCTAAGTGAAATGACCCCAGCTGCCCTGTAGCCCTTCTGAGCCTCAATTCCTTATGTGAAAGCACTTGATTAGGGACAACTGCTTTTGTTTTGGTGGGCAGATTTTAGAAAACAGAAGTGGGAAGTCTTTACAAACTGTTACTAGGTCCACTGCCCAGGAAGAAGGCTGTCTTGGAGATGTGCAAAGTGGAGTTTCATTCTTCTCTGTTCGGGGTTTATTTCCTATTTAGAGATCAGTGAATAAGACAACAAGGCTGGGGAGGTTAGTACCTGTCACTCTCCGGAGCACTTGGGTTAGAGACAGAAGCACTTCTTCATCGGAAAGCGTCTCCATAAACTCTGACTCGAGGCCAGCAATAAATCCACAGAGCACATGCATAGACCTGCATGGAGAAAAAATTGAGACACGCTAAAGTCAGCCAGCCCTGCTGTCTGTTATCAATAACCAATACTATCCCAGGGCCAACATCACCCAGAATGATCTCCCCAGAGCTCTCCCAGTGTCTCAGCAATCAACGTGTCAGACATTCACAACAAGAAGGCAGCACATACTGTTTCCACTGCATCACTTGTACCAGTGTGTAAGAGCAGAGGTGGGTAAACTGCCCCTCAGAGAATGGAGGTAGCGACAAGCTACACCAGCAGGCTTCATGTTCTTTACTACCATGCACATTCAACTTTTAAAAAATGCTGATTTCACATGGAATAGGCTTAATAATGTCAAATAAGAACTATCTTTAGGGGCTGAGGAGATGACTCAGCAGTTAAAAGCACTGGCTGCTCTTGCAGAGGACCTGGGTTCAGTTCCCAGCACCCACAAGGCAGCTAACAACCATTCAGAACTCCAGTTCCAAGAGCTCCAGTACCCTCTTCTGGCCTCCATGGGCACTGTACACAGGTAGTGTATTTACATACAGCCAGGCAAACCAGTCATGCACATAAAATAATATAAATGCATCAAAGAAAAAATTTTTAAGCAAAATTATCTGAGACCCTAACCAATTCAAAAAGGGATCCAGAATCACAAGTCTGAGATTTACTGCCCCTGCCCTGAACAGTGTCCCAAGAAATAACACAGGGTTAAACAAGGTCTCACTATGTAGCCCTAGTTGGCCTCAAACTCTCTATGTAGACCACACTGGCCTCCAACCTCCAATTCACAGACGTACACCTGTCTCCGCCTCCCAAATGCTGAGAGTAAAAAAAGTATGCACTACCATGCCCTTCCTTTTTTTTTTTTTTTTTTTTTTTTTTTTTTGTTTTGTGTTTTTTTTATGCCCCCCATTTTGCCCTAAATTCGTTTTCTCTCCCCCCCT